TTAATTGATGTATTGCCCTGAAAACTGAATATCACATATTTCAACATCAAATTATATAAAAATTTAATATATATATATATATATATAATATATACATACTTTTCTATAATCGTTGCAAAAAAGTATATTAAAGTTTTAAAAAAGCAGCAGTTTGAGAAAAGTTATCAACAGATTCCATTCCAGTAATTTACAGCACTTCTTGTTCATGTCTCGTTTAAAAAAGCCGGATCTTTCGATACAGTCATGCAAATAATGCGAAATCAGATTTCAACTCCGATCATACAATAGTATAAGATTTTATTTAAAAAAAAATAGGTTAGGGCGGGGCACAAAGGGCCAATTTGACTTTGAGCAATTATATTGTGGAAACCAAACCAGTTATATCACAACAAATAACACATCAAACAAACAAGTATCTGACTATGATTAGTAAAACTCCCAGTTAATTCATCATTGTAGAAATGTGTTTTTTTCTGTTTTTCAAAAATTAGACATCTGGTCCATTTTTGCTCCATAGATAAAATGGAAGAGCCAGGACGCTAACAGGTCCAATTCTTATACTTTTAAAGATATTTTACGGAATAATAGCTACTTTATTCAACTAATACAAAATATAAATTTCATGAGTACATTTTTTTGCAGATAACACTATATAATATAGACCTATATAGTATATAACCTTGATCTGGTATTTCAGAAATGTTTACTAGCGGTGTTGGAAAAACTATTTATCTAATTCATCTTCTGTAAAATTGCTACTTTCAACTTGATTTACTGTTTTAATTTGTCTGGATAAAAGGTTCAGTTGGTTCGTTATACCCCAACCACGTGTAAGCTTCTTTAAAGGTCATATAAAAAAACTGTTGAATTTAACTTAAAATTAGAAATACATCTTATAAAACAATTAAATAACTTATACTTCAAAATTATATTAAAGTCTTGTACTGATCATAACCAGAAAAACTAAGAACTTCAAATATTCCCGTTTATCTTCCGAGAGCAACTTCGTAATAATCTAAGGCTGGTAAAATAAATAAATATATATATATATATATATATATATATATATATATATTTATTTATTCGCACTATTATATATAATAAAAAATCATGTAGTCATACAAAATAATCATATAAAAATCATAATGCTTTTACTTTTGAAAATGCACGCATCGACTTATCCTTAAGGGGTTAGAGGTACTTGGAATTTTTGAAAAATCAATTTTTGTTTTTATTGCATTTTCGTTAAGTGCAATATCTTGAAATATTCTCTAAAAATTTCAAGTTGATCCGATGATTACTTTTTGAGTTATTGGACTCTTACCAGCGCGTTGACGCTAGTGGAGAGCTCGATACTTATACCCAAGATTATTCTCCCTTACCTTCTGATGTTTTAAAAGCTATTAAATTGATTTATAACGATCTCAGCGACGATAATTTACTTTCAAGATGTGTAGTTCAAGATTTAATCCATAATCAAAAAAAATTGAGAGCTTCAAATAACTAGGGTTAAAAATATGCTCAAAAACCGTGAATACTAGTTCTACTATCGTTTAAAGTCCTGCATGCATATACATAATTATTATTATTGATTATGGATACCCTAGGACCTAATTGTGGGTATAATTTCCATTGGTATGCTGAAAAATTGGATGCTCCACGTGTGAAAGTGGCAGATCAGCGCATCAACGAGAACACTCGGGAGGCCAGAATGCTTCGCAGGGAACAGCAAATGGAAATTTTGGAAACTTCCACAATGACTGATGATCTATTATATACCCCAGAAATAGATGACTCGGTTTAAGTAATTCAATAATTCGTATTTTTGTAAGTAAATCCATTGTGAAACTTTAAACGCGTTTATCTCAAAACTATGTTTTTTGAACAGGTGACAACTGTAACTTAAAAACCGCTTAGAATACATAATAAACTCGGATCTGTACATTTTTATTTTTTCAAAAATTAATTTTTTTAAGACCAATTAACTGTTGAATTTTTCCCAAAAATCTAGAATTATTTTTCTGAATCCGCCATTTTGTTAATTTTTGCAAAAAAAGTAAAGCTTTGATCAGGCCCAGGATTATCTATTTATAAAACTATTTTTTTTTTAATTCGATTGATTTTAGATGAATCTCTAAGGAGTTATGCCTGTCACCGCCAGGGCCGTTTTTTAAACTAGGTCAACAAAAACAGCTATAACTTTGGAAATATTTTTTTTTCTAAATTTTTGTTACTTCAAGTCAAAACATTGTATAATAATGCCGTATCACTATTTTTGTAAAACGTCGTTTAATAACAAAAAAAAATACTGAAAATTCTCATTTTTTCGTGCCTCTAAGTACCCCTAACTCCTTAACATATTAAAAATATGTTATTAACTTGCTAGTATTACTAACCGATGGATAGTTGGCTTAATGTAATGGATTTATCAAAGATGTAATATATGTAAGTAAGAAAATTATATAAATAATATTTTCACAAAATTATATACAAAATTTCACATTTAAATTGAAAATTAATTAATTAATTTCAATCTTAATTCTTATGCAGTTTCCTATATGCATCTAAACATGACACAAGTTTAGTTTTCCACGTGTTTATAATTGCTAAACTTGATGTTCAATCTCGTAAAGCTCCGCATACCGTGTTATTGCATAAACTACTTTTGCTTTAAATATCAAGCCCAAACTAGCGCTATAAAGTTCATTAAAAATAATTTATGTCTATAATCAATTCTCTCGAAGTTATTTAGACGCTTCTTTATTGCGTTTTTAGTACACTTCACAAATGTGTTTCAGAATTGTTATGGTGCAATTCAAAATTTGTTTTATTGTCATCTTGTATGTAGTACATTCAAAATATTGCTCTGCAAAGTATTCTTCAAAATAGCGGTCGCTAACTTTCTTATAAATTTTCATTTTCTGCAACTGCATGTAGCGAGCAATTAAAGAATGGATCACGATATAGACATTAATTCTGTATCTACTGCATTTATTATGAGGTAAAATCCATGTTAATAATTCTGCATAAAATAAACTAACTAGTTCCAGTTTATTAAAACGACTCGGATAAATTTTAATATCATACGAAGAATATTTAGAACGAAATACTTCCATTCTTAATAGCATCCTGGTTACGTTATTTAAATATATTGATAAAATCATTTAGATTTTTGAGTATTTTCAAATCTATTTTAATTAAGACTTAGATATTAAAAAGCTACACACACACACATTTATATATATATATATATATATATATATATATATATATCTACAGGGCGTCCCAGACCTTAACGTCAAACCGAAACAGGGTGATAGTATTGACCTTAACTGTCCCAAATTCAATGAAATTGCAAAAAAAAATATATCACGTTGTTTGGAAATTATGAGCTTTCAAGCGCAACCTAGAGCTTTGGAAAAATTGTGATCATTTTTGGTTATTGTGGTTAATGTTTATTAATTTTGTTCATATAAACTTTGAAACCGTAGCCGTGAATAACATTTATAGAACCACAATCAATAACATTACCACAATTGCCCCAAGTTTTCAGAAATTAAAACTTTTTGTTGAACTTTGAAGTTAGAATTTTTAAAATCGGTCGACTTTAAGAGGCCTTCCTTCAAGAAAACGTACTAAAATGTTTTGGCAAGTTCCATCAAATGTTGACGCATTTAACATGAATAACATTTATAGAACCACAATCAATAACATTACCACAATTGCCCCGAGATTTCAGAAATTAAAACTTTTTGTTGAACTTTGAATTTAGAATTTTTAAAATCGGTCGACTTTAAGAGGCCTTTCCTTTAAGAAAATGTACTAAAATATTTTGGCAAGTTCCATCAAATGTTGACGCATGTAATCAGGATTGTAAAATCGTAAAATATTTGATAATTTTATTATTGAAAAATTTCGAATCAAAAAATAAAATCTTATAAATGACATGTTTTTGCTAGTACATTTTACACACAGTTAGTTCAAATGCTTGTCGTACGCGCAACCTTCAATGTGTGAGTGAGAAATATTTGAACTCATTGTGAGTAAAACGTACTTGCAAAAATCATGCCAATTCCAGGTTTTAAATTTTTTACTCAACTTTTTTTTTAAATTAAATAATCAAGTATATTACCATTTCACAATCCTGATCAATGCACCAACTTTTGACGAAATTTGCCAACATACTTTAGTACATTTTATACAGAAGTTTGATTGCAAAAAATTTATAATCATAGTTCAATCAAAAGACTTAATTCTTGGAAACTTGGGGCAATTATGTTATTGTTATTGATTGAAATTTCAGATAAAATCGTCAGAAAAATTGCTTACTTAAAAATGCATAAAGATCATCTTAAAAGATCTAGGATTAGCTGCTTAATTCATTTACAATTGATTAAACTAACCGCATTGTCACTTATACAATTTTGCTTACTTTAGGCGGCTGATTGACTAGCATTCGTGATCAGTCTGGCGAGTAAATTGAATTCAAATTATAGAGTAAAATGCACTTTGATTAAGTTACATTGGGTGTAGGTACAACATATCCGCTTCTTTCTATGTTACCGATGATACGAATCTGTGTTACAGATACACAAGTTCCATATATTTAATTCACATAAACAAACTACCAATTATTTGCGTTAATGTAGTAAACTTAACATAGATACATTCTCGATCGGAAGCAGCTAACCTGCTTCGCTGGTAATCTGATATGAGTTCGACCGCGTTTTGATGAGTGTAAGATCTCGCCGCGCTCCCGCTTACTTCCCCTTACTGACCACATGGTGGCGGCTCATGGTTGGTCGCCTGCCTAGACGTCGCTAATACATTCATAAGATCGTCGCAGTTTCCTATTTGTAAAAGTAGTTTTAGATACACTATTCCCGTGTATATATATATATATATATATATATATATATATATATTAATATAAATAAATATATATAACAGGGATCTCAGCAAGTGGCAAGTCAGTATCATCCGAATAGCACAAGCACAACATGCAGTGCTCAGGAAAGCTTTTCTTCTTAGCCGTGGTCCTTTGGGCCGCGTGCTTTTGTGTTTCGGCGGACAGATCAGGCAACGTTCGACCCGATCCTGAAGTTATAAAACGTGCGTTTACTCGTGATTGTGATACCGGATATAGTCTGAAATGCTTGAAACTGGATGCAGTATCCTTCATCGAAAAAATGGCCGAAACCGAGGAATACAGTTTATTGCCGGGCGTAAGTGTGGTCAAGGATAAGAATTCCAATGAGTCTAAAACTGCAGACATCGTCGCCGGTGAGTTGATTAATATTCACAGCTAAATTCCAATAAATATTTAACTTTTTCATTAAAGACTCTGTGTAAATACGTGTATTGGTACAGAGTGTTTTTGAAGTCTATTTCAATCTATTCTTTGTTTCCTTGCTCTCATACAGCATTTTTGAATAATCTGTTCTTATTTAACTAATCTAAAGAAATAAATTAAAATTTTATTCAATTCATTTGTAATGTAATTAACTCATTGAATTAAATATATGTTTTCGATTTTTGCGGTCTAATAATTAAGCTATTCATTATTTAAAACATTACGTGTCTATATAATTCTTGCTTATATCAATTTGAATGCATAACTTATGAGCTTGTTCTTGTATATCATTTAAAGAAATCAGATAAATTATTTTATACTTATCTTCAACACTTAATAAATAATTATCTCTACTTATAGTTAATACAGTCATTTAATTATTTTAATTGAAGGAATCAAATCGATTATAGGTATCATTTTTAAAAATTACTAACTATGAATGGTCCAATTATAAAAAAGACTCTATAACAAAAATGTGAATGTCCAAAAATATTCCTAAACCCGTTTTGTACTTGTCAATTCAATTGACTAGTCTCTTGAAGTCAACAACATAATTTATGCATTGAGATCGTACACGTTGATAAACATTTTTAATTATATTCGAAATTATAAATTAGACAAATAATCCCGAGAGACAAATATTCAACCCAATCGCATCTAAATATTTAACTCATTCAGTTTGCAGTCAGTTTTTTTGAATCGTTGCATAGCTTGCAAAAAATAATGTAATACGACAAATCTTTGCATGGCTTGTTTTACTTTTGCCACTATTTTGTTTTTAACAAAAGCAAGAAATAGTTGAAAATATGACATCTTTCGAGCTAAGAGTGCAAAATTAAGCACAAAGATTGATATACAACACCCATCGATCTAAATCCGGACTTCTAGCCGCATAGACATTTATTACAAATATATTCATGACAAAAGACGATATAACATACATACTAACAATTTAACGTAGAACAACAAATGTAACGGCGGAAATGAAAGTGTAATACAAAGTTAATACACTGCAATATTCCAAATTCGTTTTACAGATCTCGCTCGGAGTTTTCCTAACGACCCGGATAAACGACTAGACGCTTTCTTATTTGAAAAAGTGAATAGTTATGTGTCGAGCCACTCGTTGAGGCTGCGCCTATTGCAGCCTGAGGCAGTCGCGGAGGCGCGCTCTATTGTTACCGGTCGCGGTGGCGGCGGCGGCGGAGGCGGCGGTGGCGGAGGCGGCGACAAGAAGGGAGGAGGAATGGGAGCTATTCTCGCCCTTGGAGCAATGATGAAAGGTTAGTGAGATTAAGATCAAATTTGATAGTAAAAATACATGGTAGATATTTTCAAGTTAGCAAGTGTTTTGATTACAAATTCCAATCTCTGAAAAACAATAATTAAGTAATTAGTATTGTATTGAATGTTCAAATTTCGACAACAGATTTCTGAGTTTGTATATTTATATAATTTTATTGAAGAATAATTTCATTAAATTTGCAACAAATGTTTGAATTTATAATGCTATATAAATATATGTTACTACATTATTATCCAGAAATATTCAATAACCTCACAACAATCATAATACGAACACACGTAAACGGTATTGCTAAGATACTTTCCATGATATCAAAATATAACAAAACATAACGATATTTTAATGTCATTGTGGTTATTCATTCATAGTTTTTTTCTTCACAGTTTTAAAATCAATAAAACCACGTTTTTATGTTTTTTTTACATATGCATTTCTTGAAGCCGCAATCGCAAAAAGAAAGAAGTATAGCACGCGCCTGTTAAATTGCAATAAGATAAATTGATAACATAGTGAAATAGTACGCATGAAATTCAATAACTTTGATTAACCCATTCGCTACGGATATCTTCTCTGAACAATATCTACATAACGTCCTTCGTGTACGGATGTCGTCCGTGGACGACATGTTCTGTTTGCCTTTGCTTCAACATTTATCAGTATGGGTTAAAGTATTGAGAATTATAGTTTTTTATTGTAATGTCTAATTCATTAGAGGCGTTATTTTTAATTTTGCAACGCATTTTGATTGATAATCATAGAAATGTCTTATAATAAATCGTTGTGTCTGCCTGTTCAGTAGTGCGACTGAGTGGCACGCTGTTCCCGTACAGCAGCGACACTCCTGCGGAAAGCGCTCCCGTAGCGAAAACGTTAAAATCATTTGATGAATACTTGAATCAGCATTTATTGTAACAAAAACTAAAGTTTAGTAATATCTGCAAATTAAATAATCAAAAAATATTATAATTTTGACTATTTTTTACAAAATTAGGTGCAGGATAATACACATTATTAAATATGCAAATTAAATAAATATATTGGAAAAATGGATTGTATCTGTTGATGTAACATAGAAAAGCGTATAATATCCAAATGAAATGATAATAAAAAATATAATCTGTAAGTCAATAATTTGCACCAATACTGCAGATTTTCAAAATTTTCTCTTATCAAATTATGAAATAAGTCTATTCAGATGGAACTGGTTTAGTTATTCATTCATAATTTATTGCTGATTCGAAACGTATTTTTCTGATGTGCGTTCACATGAATGAAAATTGATAAACACAAAAAAATCAATTTACCAATATGCCGCGGCAATCACTATGTAATTATAATGTAAAGCAGAACAGTAACTAAATGTTTGCGAAATATTTCAAACAGCAAAATGCGTATCCTTCAATTTGTAGCTCATCACTTTCCTTCCCTGTGATAGGTACCTTGGTGGCCGTTGGAATGGGCGCGATAGCATTAGTCGCCGGCAAGGCTCTGATGACCGCATTGATGGCTTTACTGCTGTCGGCCGTGATCGGTTTGAAAGCTTTGACCCACCATGAACAGAAGACGACGTATGAAGTAGTCTCGAAGCCAATTTACACCCACAGCCACACGCATTCATCCAGCCACGAAGATCACGGCCACGGCGGCGGTGGCGGCGGAGGTGGTGGCGGCGGTCACGGACACTCCGGCTACGGCAGCTACGGCAGATCGCTCAATTTCGATTTACCCCAACATCTTAAGAACTGATACGCGTAACAGGGCCCTATTCTCAAACTCGGACTGCACATGATACGAAGAAGTATACAATTGACACATAATACATTTTGACACGAATAACTTTGATGTACAACGCCATGGCGCAACGCGCAATGTACAAGAAAATTCTGCTCTTAAGAACGTTAACACACATTCACGACAATTTCCGTTTCATCTTTCAATAATAATTTTGCAAATAACACATTTCTTGCAAGCATATATCACAATTACAAAACAGGTTTGCTTGTATATCACTAAGTAACATGTACATTTCAAGAACTTATTGCTGCCTATTGACTGATCCGAGATTTGTTTCATAACAGACCCAAACCCGATTAATAACCGCTCTTCTGTTTGCTTTTGTACTGAAACAAACCTTTAAATGAACCCCTTTAAAGTCATATCATAATTCGATGAAATTGTTGTCGACTTTTTTGCCTAAGTCAAAAAATTATTACTTAGATTTCATAATATATAACCACTGTATGATGTGATAGTGATATAGCATATATATCTAAAATTTGTTCGTATTATATACAAAAATAATTTACTCTTGACAACATTTCTCATGTGATTGTGACACATTGTATAAAACTGATTGTTGTTGTTATGACTGCTATTACCACTGACGTATTTATTGATTAATTAAGCAGAATATTGTGATGTAGTATCACGTTAAATTATTTTATTTATATATCTTTGAGAAATTATGTATTTATTATAATAAAAATTATTTATATTATTTATAAATGTGTTTAATTCTTGATTTTCAAAACGCCTTACTTAAATATATATAATTACTTTAAAATGATGGAAAAACTATATAAAAAACAAAATTATTTACTGCAATGTTACCTTTGAAATCAAATAAAATGTCAATCGACCTATGTAAATAAAATTGAATAATAATATAAAATCCCAAAAAATAACTCACAGTGAATCTCAATTACAATTCTCACCGTGAATAAACCTATCATAATAAATATATTTATATATAGTTATGTAAATTAATTTGTCGGATGAGATACTAGAAAACAATACATATAATTATTATTTTAATTAATCTGTATAGATTAAAATCGAGTTCATAGCGAACACGAGAAGTGCTCTTCACATATGCAAAAATAATTAGAGCTACGAAGACAAGATTACAAGATGACATTCTAGATGATTTATGCTAGACTGATAAATTAATTTATTTATAATACATTATATATATATATATACGATAGATAAGGTTTGTTTCCTGTGCTTCGATATATGATTTTAGAGAAAAATGAATATCAGAGGACAAACTCAGAAAATTAAATGATTTTTTTTAGTTCTATCTACATAGCACGTACAATTTGTAACATTAGTTGTCATAAAATTCTACAATGATTAAAATTTGGAACATTTTTTAGATACAAAACGGATGCTGAACTCTAACATTTTTGGCAAGAAATAAATACAAAATACGGCTTGTATTTATTATATATTAATTATCATATTAGAAATAGTTGGTACGTCCTGAAAAGTACTTTAATTTCGTTTTTCATATCAATATCAGGCTCTATACATATATATATGCATATAATAAATTTAAATAGTACATACCGTGATTTAAGTATTTATGTAGAGTATGGCGAAGCTTAATAGTCCGCGGGTAAAAAAGTCCACCACCGATATCTCAAAACCAGTAAAGTTAAGAATTTTTTAACAAGAATATTTGAAAGTAGAGAGAAAAATATGTATAACCAGACACCTTGATTCACACGACGTTTATTTATTTAATTGTTTTATAAGAAGTATTATTAATTTTAAGTTAGACTGAACAGTTTTTTTATATAAAAGCTTACACCTGGGTGGGGTAAAAGAAACCAACAAACCTTTACCTTGGCAGGGGTGTAAAAAATAAAAAATAGCAAAGTAAAAAGTAAATTGAGTTAAAATAAGCAATTTTACAAAAGCAAAATCATCATATATTGTTATTCCAACTCTGCTAATGAATATTTCTGATAAAATTCCAGATCAAAGTTAATTACAATGTTATCCCTGTAAAAGATGCACCAATGCAATTTATATTTTGCATTGGATGAATAATGTAGCTATCTCAACTTACTTCATTACGTTAAAAAAACAGGTTACCAATTTTGAAACACAGCAAAAGAAATAGATAGAATGATGAATTAGCTGGGATTTTTACTGAACATAGTCAAATTTGTTTGATATGTGTTATTTGTTATGATATAGTAGTTTTGGTTTTTGCATTATTGCTCAAAATCAAACTGGACCTTTGCACCCTGTCCTACCCTATTGAATTCAAATTAAATTTAATTTGATCGACAATGTTACAGAACTGTAATGTATATAAATTCAAGTTCCAGAATAGCATTATTATTAATTTAAAAATAAAGATTTTGACAGATAGACATGAAGAAATTATGATAAAATGTAATATTTTGTATATTTTTTCGAATGTGTGGTCTGCCTCAGCAGAAATTTGAATAAGCGAAGAAAGTGATATAGAATAGAATTACATTATATCGATTAACATTTCTTGCTGTATATCTACGTCAATATCTTAGAGCAAATTCTAGATCTGTCCTAAAATTTAGGGCAGCTATGAAACTTTCTCAACTAAAGCAGATTAGCGAGCCGCATTTATCTTACATGCCTGCAAGGTACGAAATGTGGGTATGTAGGTGAGTCCCTTTTTAATTTTCATGGTCACATGGCAAGGATATTAATAAAATTCCGCAATAACATTGATATCTTACTGTTTGATGTTATTAAACAAAGTTCTAGCAAATTGCCTCAAGGCACGATGCCATAAACCACTAGTTTTAATTTAAAAAAAGCTAGCAAAGGCTAATAATTTTGTTTTTGTCATCTATGCGTAATGAAAAAATGATAAATCACTCAAATAATCATGTTTGTTGAAGCAATTTTCAATGTTTTTTATATTCTATTTCGATTGATAGTTTAGAACATTATTTCTTTGAAATCTTTATGACAGTCGTTAAGAATCAATAAAAAAACTAATAATACAATTAAATCTATTACATTTTAGAATTTATACATAGAGCTTTTTAACAAATGGATAAAAAACATACTTGGAATAGTATTTTAATGATCATAAGAATTTGAATCAATTAATAACATAAACAATATTTTTATGTGTTCAATCTAATTACATCTGCATAAATAAAAAAGGTGAGTCTGACTGTCAATTGGCCGCACTTTAAACAGGATCGGATTTATAGAAATATTACAAAAACGTTAAATGTCATATCATTACCGACTGAAAAAGCTTGATAATCCGCCGTTAAACCGATTGTCGGTTTGATATAGAAGAGCAATTTACCTATATAATCCACGTGTTTACTTTGTACTATGAAATTTAAAGTTTTTCATATAAGTTATTGATAAATAAGTAAAAAATGAATACAATTTGCAGTTACATGTTTCTCATACCGGACAAACTTTCAAAAGCAGTTTTCTAGAGATTTCGAATCTGCGGATTACACGCTAACGAGCGTTTATCAAAAGTCGGGCATGCAAATCACTTATGAAACGCCATAATAGAAAATAGTTTGGAATCAACAATTCCTTTTTACACACCCTGATTATATTGTATCATTATAAATTGCATGAGTGCAAACGCATGATCGCATCTCTAATTTCTAGATATGTTTTATAGCGCATATATAATCATAAAGTTAGATTTATGGAGCTAAACGAATTCATTAGAATCAATTTGAAGAATTATTTCATAGAGGCAATAACCATTAAAATACATCGTATTAATGCTAATGACATATTGGTAATATATTTTGAGATTCAGTCAAAATCAACGATTTAGATGATTCCAAAATAATTTGATTACTATTGATAAGTGTGCTGATTAGTTTTTGACAAAAAAAGGTTTACCCGCTTCGAAAATATGGAGCAAAAAGTGTAGAAAGTGGGAATTCGGTTTTTGCGAGAACGAGTAATCCAGTTAGATTGATTTAAAATGCATTCGAGATTCGTGTTGACAGCCAGACGTACTGGTCAATTTTTGACAAAAACAGGTCCCCCCATTTAGGAGATAGAGAGCAAAGAGAGCTCAAACTTGCAGTTTTCGAGAAAACTGAGCATCCTATTCGAATGATTCAAAAAACATTGTGCTTGTGTTGATAGTGAGAATAAACAATTAGATTTTGGAGAAGGCATTTTTTTTTAATTTTTGTTTTGAAAAAAAAATGATATCGAAAATTATTCTAATTTTTATTTTAATTCTAGCTAAAATTCTAAACTATTATAATTAACTTATAATAATTATTCATAATAAATGTTATAGGTTAATTTAAATTTCAAAATAGGATATGCTCTAATTTTGTCTTGTACATAAATGTTTCCAAATGCTTGAGTGAATCCCACGTAGGAGTCAAAGCCTATCTTGTTATTTCTACGTATCGAGCTAATTCAAAATAACCTTTATTTGGAACAAAACTTCGATTTGCACTTGTCTCATTCTCAAACATCTGTGATCCAATTTAAAACGAGTATCAATTTGAATAAGATACTTTGCATATCAGAAGATTTGTACAGATTTGTCATCGGCGCACCTTGTTTGAAGAGGCAACTTTTGATCGGATGCATATTTTATAGGATTATTTAGAGTATTTGTAATGGCGATTATTAGATAGTATATTTACATTTATCTAAGGTGAAATGCAATAAGAAACAAATCAGTGCGTATCGTATGCATGTCAGGCAAATACTTTCGAGATGAGCGGCTAAGCGACGCCGGAACTGATACAGTGTACGGCTGGCTATTAGAATGTATGAAAACGGAATTATCTTTTTGCATGCACATTTAAAAAACAAGCATAAATAAATAAATAAATGCACACACACACACACACACACACATATATATATATATATATATTATATATTATATATATATATTATACTATGAATACATTACAT